AGCCCAGAGCTGGATGGGGACAGGGCAGCCCAGAGCTGGATGGGGACAGGAGAGCCCAGAGCTGGATGGGGACAGGGCAGCCCAGCTGAGCTGGATGGGGACAGGGCAGCCCAGCTGAGCTGACCAGGGCACGGGGACTAGAGGACCTGGATAACCAGGTTTGGCACCGAGCAGCCAGAGCCCCCTCTTGCTTCAAGAGGTTTGGGGTTTTTTTCTTTTTTAATACGCTGCAGAACAAAACCATGCCAGAAAGAACACTTCTGTCCCTGCACTTCTGGTCTGTAGGCTGCTCAGGGTCCCCTCTTTCCCTGTGTGTGCCAGCACTGCCTCCTGCTTGTTCCCAGGCAATGCCAGCTCCGAGCAGGCTCTGTGTTGGTCCCCAGGATGTCACAGAGGCAGCAGACAGGTCAGGGCTGCAGACAGGTGGGTGGGAGAACACGGATAATTAACCCAGCAGCAAAATGGAACAAAATGGAAGAAGCTGAGAGCCCTCAGAAAGCTGAGCAGTCTGACCTGTATCCATAAGAACCTCAAAGCAAACACAAACCTTCAGTCCGTCCTGGCTTAAGAAATCCCTGAGTGGGATTTTAAGGCTCTTTGCAGTAATTTTCCTCAGTTAACTGCAGTGCAACACTTCCCCTTGGAGCTGTGCCCCCAAACAGCTCTGTCTATAGGGCCTCTGCAGTGCCATGGATGCACATAGGGAATCCCACCAGCTCCCAAGATCCACATAAGGAATCCCTCCTGCTCCTCCAAGGCCCTGTGTGACCACAAGCACCCGCTCACCAGGGGCAGCTGCAGTCTGGGCAGAGAGCAGGAGCCTGAGCACAGCTTTCTGTGGAGGTGAGACTGAAATGAAAGAGCTTTTAAAAGCATTTAAACTGAAATGCTCTCTGTGGAGTTTAACTGGAGTGCCTTATTCTGCTTCAGCTCTAATCTGTTCCTAATCAACTTAAGACAAATTTATCTTAAGCCAGATTTGCAGCTGTTAAGAAGGATCCACGTAGCCTTTTGCTCCAGAATTGCCACATTGGTTTTGTGGAAGGATCCACATCTTTAAATGGGTGAAACAGGGGACCTGGGAGCTGTGTCAGGAGTGAGGAGTCACGGAGCCAGCTCAGCCTCTGGAGCCCAGCACAGCATCCCATGGAAAACTGCATCCAGAGATTAACTGCTGTCCCAGTTTTTCATAATTAAGCAAGATTAACAGATAAATAGTCCCAGCAGCCACCAGCATGAGTAGCTCAGATTTGTTTCCAATAAGGCTCAAGAGGCCAAGAGAGGTTTGGGCAGCTGCAACTGCCTTTAATGGCACTTTGGACAGACAAATTCTAGTAATTTGTGTGTCCCAAATCCATTTGTTACATCCACTGCACTACTGCTGCTCACTTGGCATTTCTATCTGCAGTGAAATGAGCTCTCAGAGGACCCAGTGCTTCAGTATGTTTCACACAGGAGCCCTGAGCATCCACCCAGTTCTGTCCTGGGCTTTCACACTGGTTTAGTTAACTCAAACTGGGGTCGAGGGTGAGGGAAAGGGGAAGAAAGGATGAGGGCAGGAGGGACAGACAACTAAGGATCACAGATCTGTTAGAATAGGGATTATGGGAGTCTCAAGATAGAAGCAGGTATGAATATAAACTTTTGTCAAGATGGTATAAATACCATCCACTGCAGTGCTTTGTGTGCACAGCAAGAGATGTTGTTTCTAAGCACTCAGTTGGAGTTACTCCTTCGCATCCAAAGCAGAATTACTTAATTACTTGCACTTCTTGAAAGGTGTAGAAGTGTGGTATAACACAGGCTCCTACAACACTGACAAATGTTCACTCCAACCTAAACAGGACATAACAGGCTGACAGGTGTCTCAGGGGGCTGGAACTGCACGAAGTGTTTTGCAGTCAATGACTGAGATTCTGCACTAAGTGCTGACAATGTAGCAATGAAGAACAGCAACAAGACTTAAACATGATTAGTATTATCCAACTGCTTTGTTATAAATATATTATATACATTCAAACATCACATTAAAATATTATTCCATTACACCAGAAGAGATTAAGGCTTTATATTATTTACAGAAACAAGCAAGCACCTTAAAAAAAAAAAGAACAAAACACCAGTCATTGACATTTCCCTTCTAACATTACAAGTTTGATACCTTGAGCTCTTGAATACAGCTATTTGCAGTGTGCCCAATGCTAGAACTAGTTTAAACATTTATTGTCAGGGTAGGAAACACTTAATAGCAGACTCATCAGTGAGCACTCCACACGAGCAGGTGTTGTACGGGGTGCCCTCCCTCCTCAGAGGCTCCTTAAATTGAAGGCTTATGTAGAAATGGTTTGCTCAATTCCACGTGGAGAGTAGAACAATTTTATTTTAAGGGAAGCTGAAGACACTTGAGGATTCGTGGCCCACTGGAGGAGCAGGATTCTCAAAGTCTGTTCCACATGACATCAATTGGATTTAACATGATAGTGAAGACAGAGCTGCACGTTGATCAGTCACAAAGTGCATTGAACAGTCATGATTTTCTGGGCTCCCCCTGCCCTGACACTGCTCTCATGCAGAGCACTTGGACTCGAACACGGAGTGACAAACCCTTGTCACCACTCTCCCTATAGGACTTAGGCAACAAGCTATTTTGGAAGTGTTAAATAATGTTGATACAACACATGTTTCCTACACCACCACGTACCACTGGAGTGACTGTCCTGCCCTCGGGCTGCCCGACAGCTCACGGACACAGCACGT